TCTATTCTTTTTTAATGGCAAAGGATTTCTCTTTGGTGTTGGTACCTTGAGCTGGATGTGTCCACGGACTTCGAAGTGGAACCATTGTGGAATTTGGTATCACTGGGAAGCCACAAAATGGTGTACTCACTACTGGAGACACAGAAAGTGAAGAGGATGCCTTCAAATTAATTTGAGAGTGTTAATAAACTTTGGTTTTGCGGATTGTAATTTTGGAGAATTCATCATGCTTAGCTCACTTTACTGTTTTGATATGAGCTTCTTTCCTTTTCGCTGTCGTTGGTCACGTCTCTGGATTGCGGAAAGCCCGAATTTCCACTAACCGAAGATCTTGAAGATTCAGCTGCAGAACTGTTTACTAATTCACAGTTATTGGGGTCGTCTGAAAATAATATTTGGTCTTTTTTTATGAAAGTACTAATTTTTTCAAATTGGAATAAGACAATAAATTTAGAAATTTAAGAAAGTCATGTGTTTTCTTTTTTAATCCAGTTACTTAGCACTCACTACTAGATTTTCAAACGTTTTGAGAAACAGTTCAAGACAAGTGGGCAACAGGCGACAAAACAACCTTCTTTTACGGGTTATTAAACAGTTTACAAAGCCGCCAATGTAGAATTTTCTTATGCAGACCAGAAGAAAAAAGCTGATTAAAGCTAAAATTTTAAAGCAATTAAAACAAATCTGTTAACAATAAATGAAGGTAAAGTATTCAATTAGTTTTCAGGGAAAGTCATGCTAAAAGAAGGAGAAACAAAAGAAAAAAAACTATGATAATAACTTAATCGGTAGAAAAAAAAATAATAAATAAACAGGTTAGGAGGTTGATGCAAAAAAAAGCTTAGAAATCAGCGAGAGCGAATCCAGTGAAAGCTCTCTGATGCACCCTCAATTAATTGCTGCTGCTGCTGCTGCTAAATAAGACACCTGCAAAATTGTTCTTAAGTGATTCCCAATTTTTGCTTAACAGATTATCCGATGCAAACAAAAATATTGCATCCCAAATACGCTTTGTTGACTTTTTAATAATAATTATTATTTATTTTCCTTTTTTTCTTTCACCTTTTGACCCGGTTTTTGCCAGATTAACACAAAATATGATTTTTTTTTCTTCATGTTTCAACTTAAAAAAATAACGAAGTGCTACTGTAGAAAGGTTGCATTTTAAGATTTACTATGATTTAGGCTAAAGAATAATACTAATATTAGCACTTAAAAAACAGTTGTTTTTTGCCAGTACATATTTTTAAATAAAAATTCTTTTTATCATTTTTCAGATCTAGT